GCAGCGAAGTCGACGACGACGGCGATGGCGACAATGATGACGACGACGACGACGACAACGACGACGACGACGACGACTCAGAAATACACCCAAAACGGCCTCCGAAAGCGCCAGGCGGCTCAAGAGCGCCCGAAGACGACCCAAGACGCACCCAAGAGGCCCCACGAGGCCCCCAAAAAACCCTCAGGAGGCCCCAAGATGACCCCAGGAGGGTGCCAAAACGATCCAACCGGGCTCACTCTGAACACGGCCTTGGGTTTACCAGATGAACGCACGGCTCTAAGTCGCTTCGACGACAACGCCCCCCAGAAGAGAGGCATTCGGGGCTTCCGAGGGGTCTGCGAGCGTACGAGAAGGAATATTCAAGATAGAGGGGGCGCCCATCGTAGATGGTGGTACGTCTTCGAATGGCCCCTGGGGGTTCAGAACCCCGCAGGAGAGCCCAGAATCGGATCGAGAAGTCAGATCGGCGATCGAAATGAATCGGACCGGCGGCAATCGGCAGCCGAATCGGGAAAGTTCAAATCGGAGGAAATCTGCAGGCTAGTTTGCCTCCAGCAAGGAAACGGAGCCCAAATCGGAATCCGAAGTCGAATCGAATCGGAATCGGAAGCCACCGAAATCGAATCGAATCGAATCGAAGGAATCGAAACGAGCTCTACTTTTCTGAGCGGCCCGAATCGAGAATGTCCTCAGAAAGCGTGCTACATAGCGCCAACGTGCGCCGGCCCCCCGAGAGACCCTCCGGCGCGACGCGTGGCAACAGAAGGAGGGCCGGCGCAAGCTGTGTGCCACCAGTTTGTTTTCCCCTACCATCCTGCGGTGTTGGGTCCTCGTTTTAAAGAGAAAGCGCCCACGTTCCTTCCTTCCTCTCCTCCTCCTCCTCCTCCTCCTCCTCCTCCTCTTCCTCCTCCTCCTCCTCCTCCTCCTCCTCCTCCCCATACTCCTCCCACTCCTCCCTCCTCCGCACTTAGCGTGCCTCTCTCCCAACCAGAGCAGCGCTTCGTGGTCCTCTGCGGGGGCTCCACCGAAGATGGTACCTACAATTGCGCATTCACATTAATATATATATATATATATATATATATATATATATATATATTGTTGGGTCTTTCGCCAGGCTAATCTTTTGTCACTCGCCTGTTCACTCGCCGAGCGAAGACGAGGGTGGGTCACTTCCTAGGCGCAGAGGGACGGGGTCGCCACACCTCCTGTCCGCCTCTAATTGGGGGGCCGGCAGGGCTGCGCGTGATTTACCACGAGGGCGCGGGGTCCCCGAAGGGAGCAGGTCCTGGACCAGGGGCCTTACCCAGCGCCGCTGCCCAGAAGCGAAAAGGGACACGATCTTCAAAAGTAGTGGACTGTTCCTGTACAAGCGAACGCTCAACCAATGACCACGGCGCTGGCAAAGAGCAAGTGCTGAAAAACCAGCACCGACAATCCCGGGGCTATTCCACGGAGGCAGTGCGGAAGCAACACGCCCACACACTTTGGTCGGCAAGACCCGACTAGGAACGAACACTGCGAAACTCTGCGGGTGCTTCAGCCACAAACAGTCAGAGCAACCGAGAAGAAACACATGTCATGCACCAACAAAAGCACCAAGAGGATATATGGCTCCTCCAAATGCCGCACTCTCACTTTTGAAGCTCTCGCAGGCCGACAACGCCTTCTGCCCGATGAGATTGCACATCGCCTGCCCAGCTTCCGCGTCCTCCTTCGTGACTGCATCCATGTCCTTGCCTCGAGCCGCGAGGAAGCCAGAGATCCCGAGGCAAGAACAGTTGAACTCGCCCACCACATGAGAGGCCACATGGTCGTCGATCGGGATGAAGTCCGCTGACCACAGCAAGGGCAGAGCGGTCATGGGCAAGCCCAGGGCAGCCATGATCTGCTCGACCTCAGACTCCAGCTTCGCCTTGAGTGCAGCCCACATGGGGTCGTCCGGCTGGTAAATGGTCGTCTTGGTCTCACCGCCGACGCCACCCATATACACGTAGTGCTCGATGCGGTACAGCTCGCTGCCAACCATCATGAAACGAGTCTCGCCCTCCTCGATCCTGGGCAAGAAGCGCTGGTCGACCATCTGCCCGCCAGCCTCCTCGCCACCCTCAAAGTACTTGCCAGTTCCAATGGACTTCCACTCACCAGACTTCTCTGTGCGGCCGTTCACGCAAAACTCGATGAACTCTCCTACGGTGTGCTCCTCAACATGATTGTCACACGCCTCCGTCAGGATCAACATCTCGTCGTCGGCGGCCTCTCTCTCGCCGAAGCTCTTGCAATAGACACCAGACTTCAGCTTGATGATCCAAATGCCCTCGCCAGCAGAGCCGCGATTCTGCTTCACCACACGGGGCTGGAACGCGATCGTCTTCTTGAAGCCTGCCGCGATCTCCGATGGATGGTAATCCGCCGACCCCAGAGGCGTGCGCGACCGACCTTGGCAACAAACACGCATACGTCCCAGTCAATCTTTATCGCCCCGCCCTCCCTCGCCTCCACCACGTTCTGCCAACCCCACTCCACGGCAGACGCGACGATTTCTCGCCCAAAACTGACCACGTCCCCCCACCAGGTCCTGGCACCCCCATCCCATGAGACCTCTGTTCTTGGGACCCCCCCACGCGACAATTTCTCCCCCAAAACCGACCACGTCCCCCCACCAGGTCCCGGCACCCCCATCCCATGAGACCTCTGTTGTTGGGACCCCCCACGCGACAATTCCTCGCCCAAAACCGACCACGTCCCCCCACCAGGTCCCGGCACCCCCATCCCATGAGACCTCTGTTCTTGGGACCCCCCACGCGACGATTTCTCGCTCATAACCGACCACGTCCCCCCACCGGGTCCCGGCACCCCCATTCCATGAGACCTCTGTTCTTGGGACCACCCACGCGACGATTTCTCGCCCAAAACCGACCACGTCCCCCCACCAGGTCCCGGCACCCCAATCCCATGAGACCTCTGTTATCGGGACCCCCCACGCGACGATTTCTCCCCAAAAACCGACCACGTCCCCCCACCAGGCCCCGGCACCCCCACCCCATGAGACCTCTCCTCTTGGGACCCCCACGCGACGATTTCTCGCTCAAAACCGACCACGTCCCCCCACCAGGTCCCGGCACCCCCATCCCATGAGACCTCTGTTTTTGGGACCCCCCACGCGACGATTTCTCACCCAAAACCGACCACGTCCCCCCACCAGGTCCCGACACCCCCATCCCATGAGATCTCTGTTATTGGCCCCCACGCGACGATTTCTCGCCCAAAACCGACCACGTCCCCCCACCAGGTCCCGGCACCCCCACCCCTTGAGAGCTCTGTTCTTGGGACCCCCCACGCGACGATTTCTCGCCCACAACCGACCAGGTCCCCCCACCAGGTCCCGGCGCCCCCGGCCCATGAGAGCTCTGATCTTGGGGCCCCCAACACCACGATTTTTCGCCCAAAACCGACAAGGTCCCTCCACCAGGCCCCGGCACCCCCACCCTTTGAAAGCTCTGTTCCTGGGACCCCCCACACGACGATTTCTCGCCCAGAACCGACCAGGTCCCCCCACCAGGTCCCGGCACCCCCACGAGAGCTCTGGTCTTGCGACTTTACTCCTGGCCCCTCTCCTCTCCGTGGCACCCCCCATGCACTCCAGCTCTGTTCATGGGACCCCCACCCCACAAGGTTTTGCCCGGAATCTACGACCCCCCCGCCTGCTGGCCCCCCTCCTGGCCTCGGACCCCGCGTCGCCTCGGCACCACCACTTCCAAGGGCCCTGTCCTTCGGACTTCCCACCCCGCGACGTCACGCCCGGAGCCGACCGGCACCCCGAAAGTTTGTGTTTTTTTCATTCCAAACACAAGCGTGGACAGAAAGGTCGCGTGCTTTAGACAAATCAACGAAAAAGGCAAACGCAAAAGCGCGAAAAGACAGCTGTCTGCAAGGAAGAAAAAATTCCTGTACATTTTTCATGAAGGAAATCACAATCCACTGTCGAAAGTTTGTTTGTTCACGTTGACCCAAAAATTGGAAACGTAAAAACGTGAAAGAAAGGTTTCTGCAAAGACGAAAACATGTCAAGACTCCTAGCGAAAAACCAAAGCTTAGAGAAGTACACGTTCTTCAAAAACGAAGCAAAGGCACAATCGAATCATGCTTTCTTCTCCAAAAAATGTGTTTGGGGAAATTGCGGAAACTGGGTGAGCAAAAAAGTTTCCTACAAAGAGAGAATATAACAAACATCACACAGAAAACTTACAGGTTTATTAAATAAAATAAAGAATCATGTTCGGACATGGCGGAAAAGGACCTATGCGAAAATTGCCATATGTTGTCTTTTCAAAGAAGAAGAGGAATATAATATCGTAGGGGACGAACTTATGTTTGCGTGCGCTCGTGAGGAACATGTCAGCAATTGGAAGTACTTCTGGAAACAAAAACTGCTGCTGTCGGTAAAGAAAAAAATCAAAACTCGCAAAAAAATACAAAGATCATGAACAACACACATCCTGTAAACATCGAGTACACACCCTGATCCCAAAATGTTGGAACGCCGACACTTTTCCGTCCAGAACCGACCCTGTACGAGCCCCTGGCTCTGTCCTTTGTTCTGCCCCCTGCGCCGTTCCAGGAGCAGTGTTCGTGGGCCCACACACCCGACGTCTTCCGACCCGGATGCGACCACGTTCGAACCTCCCGTTACGACCCTTGCCCTGGCACCCGCAACGACCCCCACCCCGTCCCAGAATTGTATTTTTGGGCCCCCGAACCATCACAAATGTCCACACGGGCCCGACCCTGTTCAAGCCCCCGCTCTGACCCCTGCACCGTTCCACGCGTTTTGGTTTGAGGTACTCACATCCGACAACGTTCCGACCGGATTCGATCCTATTACAGCCCGGCGCTCAGACCCTTGCTATTGCCCCCGCACCGCCCCCGGAATCGTGTTCGTGGACCGCCACCCCCGACAATGTACCACCCAGATCTGACCCTGTCCCAGCCCCCCGCTCGGACCCCTGTACACGCACCGTCCCTGGCGCTGTGTCCTTGGCCCCCCACACATGCTTGCCCTTCGGCAACCGCATCGGGCCTGCCGCGCGCCGTCGGGATGCTCGCACTGCAACCCGCGTTGGGCCCGCCAGCAGGCAGTGGCCTGCGGGCAGTTTCCGTGGAGACGCATCGGGACTACCACAAAGGAGCACGCTGCCAACCCCAGTCGCAGACCACGCCCAGGATGCCGTCGGCGGACATGCCGAAGGCGTTGGAATACGGAGGGGGGGAGGAGGGGAAGGAAGGAGGAGAGCGCGGGAAGGGGGGCGTGCCCATCCGAAGGAACGGTGCCCCCCCCCATCCCAGTGGCGACGAGGCACAAGCTGTTTAGGGAAAAGAAGACCCGACCCCCCCCCCCTATCCCCCCCCGCGACCTGAGTGGACCACCCAGGCCAGCGGAGGACGTCATAGGGGGCCGGGGCAGTACGTCGACGCGAGAAGGAAGGGGAAGAAAGTGGAGGGAGGATCGGGCAGACGGAAGCCCTTTCAGGCTTTCCCCGGCGCATGAGATTGCCATTTTGGCATGCATTGCGGGGGCGAACCCGCCTGTCGTTCGAAAGCGAGTGAGGGCCAAGACTCGCTCGCGCGCGTGCCCCACACAGCAAGACCGTGCTAGGCCACCACGAAAAAAACAGCAGCGGGTGAGCGCGCGGGGCCGACAGGAGCGGCTCAGATCGCGGGAAGAACAAGATGCTGGGAAAAGCTTACCCATTCTGCGAAGTAGCGTGGACGCGTGGTCCACACGTCTAGGTCCGACCACAACTGTCGAGACCCTGCGGCCCGCCAGTCTGCCAAGGTGGATGCGACGGCGATACTGGCGCGCAAACACCGACTGCATATGAAATACCACGCAGACAAATGCACTGGCGCCGTTACAACATGTTGACAAGTGCGGCACGCCGTGAAGTTCGTCGCGATGTCTTGAACCCAAAATCACCTGTGTGGTTCCACGGGTCTGAGCTCCGTCTGAATCTCGGCGCCTAGTGACAGCCACAGCCACTCACACTTTACTAGGCAGCACATGAGGTCTAACACGTCTCGGTGCCATAGGAAGGACCCAGGCACTGGAGCAACGCAGAGGAAGAGCAATGCTCAGCGCGCCCCCAGATGAAAAAACTGCGCGCGGGCGGGGAAAGCGCGAACGCGAGCGTTCTGGAAACGAGCGAATAGCCTGGAGCGGCCGCGAGTGCGGGGCGACTACGCATATTAGGGAAAAACATGACTACGGCCGATTTCGCGTTGGGACGCGGTGACGGCGCGAAATCGGCGACGCCGGCGCGCGCGCAAGCGACGACGACGGAGGAAGCGCGTCTGGGCGATCGACCGCCAGCGCATCCAGGAGACAGTCGCGCACGCGTTGCCTCTAAATTATGAGTTCCGCGGGGGGCCGCCGGTTTCAAAGATGATGCACAGGCCGACCTTGGAAACAGGGACGACGGTCTGGGCCGCCCATGACGTCCTCGATGCCCAACTACGCCCCGCCGCCAGCGGCTGGGACTACCTGCCCCCCATCACACCCATCACACTGGCAGAGATGCAGGGCGCCGCGCGCTCGTTGAGCACGAAACAGCGGCGAGGCCCACGCGCGCGCCGTCGACAGCTATGGAGCACCTCGGCGGGCCGAACTACGATATCTTCCGACGGTATACAACGCGATATGGCCCCGTTACGGAGGCCCGATGGAGGGCAAGGGTTTGTCGCACTCAGCAACGAGCTGATGCGGGTTGGGGCCAGCGTCTACCGGCCCCTTCCAGCCGAGACGCACGCGCGGTGCCAGTGCGAGGCGAGCCACGGCGATGACAATGACGAACACGACGACGGGGACGCACGCAGGCACGCATGGCCTCCGCACGTAGGCGCGAGGTTGATTGGAGAGGACACGCGAGAGGACTCAAGATCCTTCCGAGGGCCACAATTCCACAGGACTGTAGACGGCATGGGTCGGCAAAGACAGGACGCAGGAGCATCCTTGATTTAGCCAGGTCGACCTACCAATCCGCCTCGACTGTAAGCGCGCCTCTCCGCCTGCAGCTGCGCGTTCAGCTCCTCGTGCAACCGCAGGCAGAAGCCCGCGATCGGTTAGCCTCGCCCTCGCCACGGCCGAACCACCCCCCCGCCGTTTTCCCACAGCGGAGACCCCCCAGGAGAGCCGACGCATCGCCTGTGTGCATCGGCGCAGTCAGCGTGGAGAGAATCAGTCTACACCTCCGTCCGCATGGGCGATGCATCGTCGATGCGGCGCGATCCTCCGACCATGTTGGCTCTGGCCCCATCTGGGAGGCCTGGATGCAATCAGCGTGCTGCCATGAGGACCGCCAGGTAAGGAACGGACAGGCTCGTCTGGCCACGGCGAGCATCGGCCGCGAACAAATTGCCCGACCTTCAACTGAGGAACGGCCCGGAACAACAACACTCATCATTGTCCTAATATGTTCTTGGTTTCAGAGAGTTGACCGT